CCTGCCTGTTGCATCATGGCCATCACCTGTTGATAGCCCTGTAGAGCCTGAGCATTTGCCGGGTCAGCAGCAAACTGAGCCCAAGCTGACGGGTATGGTGTGAATGCTCCACCAGGCGTTGTTATCGAGCCTGGGAACATTGTTGTCGTCGGCGTAGGAGTTGGGGTTGACATGATTGGGATCATGCCAATTGATCCTACAGTAGTGATCGGAGCAAAGGTCGTCCCCATGCTCGACATCATCAATGGGATGGCAGGAGTGCTTTCACTCGCAGCCTGGCTTGACACAGCGTTGTAGTTGCTCGAAGACATGATTGTGGATATTTAGTGGGGGTAAAGTTTTGACCTGGTCGAAAAAACTTTAAAAATCGGCCCCACGGTGGGCGCCAAAAATGATGGTGTAAATATAGCGGGGTGGGTTAACCGGGTTTGACCTGGACACACTCGACCCGTAATATAAAACACACAACAAGAACACAAAGTATGACCTAGACCGGGTAAATCTCCTCATTCCGAATTATATTTCTTACTCTATCTCAAGAGTGAACTTTAGTGAGAGAAAAATTGGATCCCCTCCTCTATCCAATATCATCATATTTATAGAGGAGGATTTGTGACCTTCCCCTGTTCATCCATGGACAAAATAAGAAGCTCGTGGGAAGGTCACTGTAGATAATGGGAACATTGTACAATCATAGAATTTAGCAACTATAAGCCAAGACATGTACTGTTCAATCAAAGACTAAAATGGATATTCTCAATCCAATCAACCCTGCAAAATGACAAACATCTCTTTCACTGTGTGCCTCGTGATGGATGAGCGGCGGGGTGTCCCCTTGACCTCTGACGTGGTTCACCATGCCTGAGATACTGGACCAATGTTTGTCAAGTGAGATGATATGACCGGTCACCTTCTCTCAAAGGTTACCCGGTCATTCTTTATGCTCAACCCGTCTCTGGTCTTCTAGACTATTCTTTGTAACATTAGGCGACATTTTGGCTAACGCCCAAAATGTGACTGGTCACTTTTTTAGTGGAAGTGACCGGTCAACTTTTGACCCGTCCCAATCGAAGAGTTAACTTCATTTGGTGATTGATAAAAGTGACCGGTCATATTTTTGACTTGTCCCTTTCGGTTGTCCGGGTCGGGTATAGGGATATACCCATCAATATCATATACTTCATTTCCTCTACCTATATGCTATAGCCATTGTTTGGAAACTAGAACTCATTAAAAATTTTAGATTTCAATTCCAATATTTGAAATCTCATAATTTCAAATTTAAAATAAAGTTTGTGAAGTCAAAAATTTCTAAATTTAGAATCTAAATTTTAAAGTTGTAAAACGGTAACGAAAACAGGTTGATATTTATCAAATAGTTTTTGTGTAAGAGGAGATCACTCTTTAATTTTAAATTATAAATTAGAGAAAAATTGGGTTTGAATTTGTAAATGACATGAATAGAGGTGTAGATTTGTAATTAGGTTAATTTTAAATACGAAGAATTTGGTCAAAATTCAAATCTAAATTTTTTGAGAGTACCCAAACAAGTAATTTGGATTAAATTTAGATTTGAAATCTAAATTTAAGTTCCCAAACACACTAATAAGAAAATTAAAAAGGAATTGAGTATTTATTTCTTTTTAATTCTTCTATCTTCAATTATTATCTTCCTTTCTTTTCACTCATTTTCCTAAAATAAAAATAATTTTTCAAAAACTCATTAATCCAAATTTAGTATTTACCATATTTTTGCAAAGATTTCAATTAATCTTAAAAATTGTGCACGAGTTTTAGATGTATGAATATTTTTCTAGTAAAATGATATAATCATGTCAATTATTTATTCAATATGTAAAATATATATGATATATCAAAAGACTAACAATTGTATCAGGGAAGCCACAGAAAACTGTTGGGTGTGAGTTGTGGTTCGGGGAATAGGCATAAAGGTGATTAGTGATGAGGTAATATGGTGCGAAGTAAGGTGGAAGCGAAGGTGGTGTATTTGAGGTACGTGGACTATAGGGATGAAGAGGATAGAGCGGCATTGCAAGCGGTATAAGGCAACTCCGGTCCTAAAAACCTTTCATATTTTTATTTTTTTGTCAAATATTGATACTCTTTGACCATAAATTATACAAAATTTAGATAAATAAATGATATAAAAATTTGATATATCAAAACTATATCCTGAGATTAATCCAATTGTATTATATTTATACTATAATTAAATATACTTTTTTTCATAATTTGTAGTCCATGAATATCATTTTTTGACAAAAAAAAAGTAAAAACCAAAAAGATTTTTAAGACCCGAGGGAGTATTAAAATCTACCCAGCTAGATCAAACTAGAGCAAGTTGTAATTTTTTTTACAAACTCTTGAATTGAAGTCAAAATAAATCAATACATAAAACCCAACTTTGAATATATTGAATCTCATTTTAACTGAAAAGTGCTACTCCGTAAAATGTACGTAGTAACATTTCTGGATTAGAAGACCTCAATTTTGACACCACTTTTCACTTCACCCTTCTTACAAATTTTCAAAGACACAGAACAGTATCTAATGTCTCTGAATGTCTATTAAACGTGGTCAAAATTGAGGCATATTTAGCATTTTACTTAAAGCTCACACTCACTAGAGTGAGGTAACACTGTATCTGGTCAAGAAATTCGGAAGAAACGGAAAAAAATGATTTTATCTTAGTTTCTAACGAAAATGGGATGATTTTTGTTTTTTCTCTTAATACATTTTACATTCTCATTTTTTTTTCTTTCCACTTTTCTTTTCTCTTTCTTTCTAACCAAACAAAAAGATATTTTCCATCATATTTTATTTTCTTTTTCCTTTCAAATTTCTTGATCAGACAAATAGTAAAAGAAAAAAATCCAGTGTAGATTGATACCTACTTAAATCTCTATTGGTCACAAAAGTTGTACTCTCTCCGTCCTATTTTATAATGCATGTTTCGATTTACGATGTTTGACTAAAATTATCTTCAAATCGTTTTATATGAAAAATGATATAGAAATATAGATGGAGGGAGTACAACTTTAGGTCCAAACAGAAAAATTAGATTGAACCAGACCGTTAAGTCCAGGTTGAACCAAACCGACTAGAGCGGCTTAAACGATGTACTTTCAATCCACTATTTTTGGGACATGAGGGACTGAAAAAAGTTAAGAAAAGTATGATTGTACAGTTGATAACAAACAAATGTAAACCACCCAAACATGATTTATGACAAAACTTGGACGAACAAAAATAGTAGGACAAATGGAGTAAAACAGAGTGAAAAAGTTTGGTGCATAAGCATCATAACATGGGTGGTGAAGAATTTCTTACACTGATAAATAAAACATGAGAAAATCAAATGCTTCAGCATGAAGTGCAGCAAACGTACCAAAAATCCGACTCTCGAGCGTGTAAAAATGGCCCGAGAAACCAAACACGCGACAGAACTATTGGCGTTTCGGCATAGGAAGCAAGCAGTCGTATACGCGCTCCATTCGCGAAGTAATCTTCAGTTTATGCGTCGTTGGAATGTTTGGATTTGCCAAATTAAGAATGTCCTGTCTCAAACTGAGAAGACATCGAAATGTGTGTCACATGTTAATGAATTAACATAAATTCCACTCTCATTAGTGTGTTTTTTGTCTCTCCAAATGTAGCGTTTTCAGTTTTTTGTTTCAAGTCACTGTTCTTGTTTGATAACAACTTCGGCGTTTAGCTTTAGTGTTTTGAAAGACTGCTTTATGACAACATTTAGCTTTAGCATTTCGAAAAGACTATCTTATGAATTTCAAAGTTAATCTGCACCATGAGAAAACAATCCAAAACACTAACGCTTATTGAAAATGGTGTTCCCAAGCAAGGCCACTATTTTTTGTTAGTCTCTCATGTAATTTACGACATTTTCTTCGGAGCCAATTTGTCAACCTCCATTGACAACAAAAGACTGATGTATCTAGTACTCTAATTTGGCCTTCCCTCATCATTAAAAATGTTTAGTACTGTATTTTATTCTGAGAGGGCAAAAGAGAGTAAATTCTGAGAATGGTGAGATTTGCTTTTACCTAACTCCCCCCAACAAGGCTATAGCTTCAGATGAGTTACAAGTTAGGCCGGATCAGTTTTTTTTATAACAAAGGTTGTCTCTTGGAAACGGCCTCTACTTACAAGTAGGGTAAGATATGCGTAGGATTGCGTACACACCCCCTCTCTAGACCAAAAGACCCTACTTTTTGTAGGATTTTACTGGGTTTGTTGTTAAACGACATAAACTACATCCATGAATAACCAAGAGCACTATATTTGCAGGGATAAACACTATCTTTAAACCAACCAGAATTGAATTGAAGCAAAAACAATAGGAACGTGAACAAACCAACCTTATCCATTCACCAGTTGCTCTTGCGTGCCCTTCTGCTGCACCGTGCAAACGGTCCAGATAATAAAGAACCAAGCCGAATATAAATTTAGCATCCTCTTCCTTGTCTGAAAAGCTTGGTCTTTCCTCCTTTGTAAAGTTATGACATACACTTAGAGATTTAAGATAATAATGGGAGAACAAGAATTTATATAATAAAAAAAACTCCAATGCGAAAGTTCTTCCACTATACAGAAGATATATTAGGATTACAAAAATATATACACTCCCTCCGTCCCAAAATAAGACTCCTCGTTACTCTTCACCCAGTCAAACTACATCTTTTTTTCTTTTACATTGTTTGTCTAATAAAATAAAATAGTCATATAACAACTTGTTTCATGGAACTATTGATGTAGTTTTTAAATATATAACTTTTATTTTAAAATTCTACACCAATTTTCAATTGTGTTGATTTGAAAATAATTTCAATCAAACATCGTAAACCAAAATAGGAGCCTTATTTTGAGGGAGTATATTTTTACAAAAATACCAAACACTTCGATGCTTCACTCAAGTTGAAAGATTTCGAATTCTCAAGCCATCTCATTTCTCTCTCAAAGAAACTCTCTAACCGGGTACTCCATAAATAATGAGAATGTACTTTGTGAAACAATACTCATTTTATAGGACGAAGGGAGTATGTAACACTCTTACTCGTTCTTGATGATTGCAGCGTTCTAATTGCATAATTCTTCTTTCAACTTCTACAATAAGGAGCCTTCTTTGAATTCGAGCAACTCTTCCCCTTCCTTCAGCTCTAGTATCCTAAATCAAAATAATAATAAAATACTGTTTGTATTATGAATATATGGGGCAGAAAAGTGTTGAAAAGTATAAGGTTGGAATTCATTTATAGATGAGGGATAGATTCTTTTAGAAACATGGTCACTTCTTTAAAAGAAAATAAAGCAGGAAGTTTTTTTGGGACATCCAAAAAGGGAAAGTAAGAAGTAGAGTATTAACAGTATATAATTGGAAAAGAACTAAATTACATTATCTGCTCAAGTTATTAGCTTTAGATATTTATTCAGAAGATTTAATTTGTTTCCACTGGAAACAAATTAAATCTTCCGAATAAATATCTAAAGCTAAATAAGTTGTGAAAAATAACAACAACAACAACAACAACC